AGCCCCCACCCCTGCGCGGCGGGTGGGGGCCCTAAATATCCATAGGGGGGGACCTACTGGCCTCCATCCCTGAGCGGTGTGTGGGGGCCATAAATAAAAAGGGGGGGGAACCTTATGTCCTCCCCCCCGGCCCCCACCCCTGCGTGGCGTGTGGGTGCCCTAAATAACAATAAGGGGGGGACCTAATGTCCTCCCTCCGGCCCCCACCCCTGCGCAGTGGGTGGGGGCCCTAAATAACAATAGGGGGTGACCTACTGTCCTCCACCCCAGCCCCCACCCCTGAGTGATGGGTGGGGGCCCTAATGTCCACTGACTGCTCACTGTTTACTACACATGCCCCTACTCACAGTATGGCAAGTAGGAGCTGAATTTACTAATACTAAGTAATCTTTACTTAGTATTAGTAAATGTGGCTGAAAGGCCAATTTAGGTGACCAATTTAGGTCTTTCAGCCTTTTGGTAGATATCGCCCTAATATTGTGTGAATTAGGGAGTTATCTACTAAGCAGCTGCTTATTTCATGTTATTTTTAAGTGATTTCCCTATCCACATTTGTTTGCAGGGCACTTGTACCATTTTACTTCCTTTTACAGCCCTCTAGCCCTTTCCAGGAGTTTTCTAGAGCCATTTTTGTGGCCAAAAGTTCGGGTCCCCATTGACTTCATGGGGTTTGGGTTTGGGGTCAAGTTTGGGGTCAAGTTCGAGCCCGAACCCAGACTTTTTTTCAAAGTTCGGCCAAACCCTCCAGACCCGAACATCCAGGTGTCCGCTGAACTCTAGTCCCAATTCCTCTAACCACGCTTGTGTCTGTCCCTGATCTTTCTTGAGCTCTGAGTTATGGAGTTTTAGAGCTTAATATATAGAGTCGAAAACAAAGAAAAATAAAGGGCCAATGTCTTCTCACAAAAGTGAGAAGGAGGCTCCCTTGATAAAAACAGTATCCTATAGTATAGACTGGTAAAAAATAATGACAAAAAAGGTAGTACTAACAAAACAAAATTGGAACTATTTTCAAACTAACTCTATACAGAAAACATCCTAGCCTTATAAGGCTTTCCTATACCTTGCACTGCAAGTCTACCTGTAGGTGCACATACCTGGCTTTATTGTATATTGCCAAAATGGCCATAATATAAGGGTAGATATGTGTAAATTATACAGACTCGTGTCCAAAGTGAGCTAAAACTCACGATGAAAGATAAACCTAATGATAAAGATAGTCTAAATTACTAATAATGTAAGCCGTCTCCTAATCAATGCCATGTAACATATCAAATAATAATTAGTCAGAGTAACTCAAATCAAGTCATTATAGGTATTTAATGCATCAAAAGACATGAGAAAGTGAGAGAAGGAAAGATAAAGATAAGCCTCTCTCCCTGAAAATCTAACTGGATAGGTAATAGGAAAAGAAAGAAGATGGTTAATCAGTTAGCATATTGATCAACCAGTGAACATGAGATGAAAAGTGTTTGGATGTAACCAAGCATGTAATTAGTGCCAAAGTGAGGTAATTAAGCACCGTGCTCATATTGTCAAAAAGCAGGACAAAGGAACAGTGCGGAATCAAAATGTCAGGTTTCTTATCAGATAAGGTACAGATGCATTTATGGAGTGTCTCACTGGTGTACCCTTTCTGTGACTGTGGACACACTTCAGGACACACGCAGTGTTACGCTGGTGTCCTGGTGTTATCCAATCATAGAAATCCCCCTATTATTTTCTAATATATAAAGTGGTCTTCCCTACATCCTTCAAACCATAGAGCCTATGAAATAAACCCATATTAAGACGTAAGTAATTCCGAAAAGGCCTTGGAGTCTTCAGGCTCCTTGAGTGCAATGTCAGCAGTTGCTAAATTTGCATTGTCCCTCCTCACAACCCTCAATTACTTTGCAATCAGTTTGCCCAATCTGAGTGAGATAGTACAGTTAGCTATTTGGAAAACTGCCATGGCAATCTTAAGTCACAAAATCATAGATTCAAATTCCAGTATGGCCAACTTATCTGAGGTTGATTAAATGAATGCAGTGGTGTTATATCGTATATTTAAAAAAAATATAGGAACTGTCCACCTGAACAAATGCTGTCTATTGCTGCAACTGCATATTTTTAAAGACAATTAAACTTCAATTATTTGTGCAGGGTTATCCTTTAAGTCTATACTGTCAAAGTGTCATTCCTGAAATAGTACATGTCATTTCTAATGGCTTGTTAATGTCAGCCAAGCCAGCAGTGACTGTGATTGCACTTTGATGGTGTGAGACATTTAAATCTATAATTTCTTAACTGTTCTAATTTGAGTTCAGTAATTACTTCATGCATACTCTTCTAATTAGAATGCTTATCAAACATGCCAGTTACTGAAAGCTGTGTGTGATTGATCTTTTGCTATTTATTGATATTATAACCCACTTCCACGACCAGATGATTCGGTGTAATCATGATCCTGGTTTAAAATTGGTATATTGTAGCACACTTGATGAATACACCATGCTTATATATATTTCCAGTTACAAACGTAGGAGCTTACTTTCTAATTGAAATGAGAATTAGCAAATTTAGCTCAAAATTTGCAAATTGAGAATAACATGTTTGTAGATATTTGTTAATTTGCCTAGATGTTGTCAGTTTGTGTTTTTTTTGTTTGTTTTTATGCCTAATATTAGTTGATTACCAAAATAACCACTCTATATGCCTGTTGATGCACACTAACTGGACCCTGAAAATATCAGGCTAGTCTAATTTGTGTCTATGCTCATGATAAAATATTAACTGGTTCTCCCTTTATGAAACAGATTATCTTACTGATGGAACCTCAATATCCATAGACTGCATTTTATTGTTGCTCTACTATACATTTGTGTTTTGAATTTATCTTGTTTTTTTTAATTGGACTGTGCACGCATTTTAATATAATTTGGTGATATTCATTATATCTTAAAAACAAATATTTTTCAGATAAAATAAAATATGTGTAGATTTACACAAATTAGTAACTAATTCAGATATCCTTAATATTTTGATTGCCCTGTTGAGTAACACAAGAAAGCTATAAAAAAAGAATGGTCATCGAAAGCAGAATGGTGATTGGTAAGTATTGTTGAGCAGTAACATGAACAGAATCAATATGTAAGTACTTTATTAAAACAAACAAAAAAAAAACAACTTTATTTAAATCTTGCGGTCATACAAAAGGTAAATAATTATTAACCAGAACATAAAGTGATACAACAATAGTTGGCATAAACATTGTTTCCAATCTGTCTGTATCAATCATGATGTGTCAATGTGGTTCTAATGATCCTTAGCAGTCAAATGAGTGCTTACAATTATCACCTGTTATATGTCAAATACACAAAGTGGGGGCAAAGAAGTGGGTATCATTTCCAGAGCTATTCTGACTGTTAATCTGTTTTGGTCTAGTGAAGGAGTTTAGAGGTTTGGAATGTAATAGTGCTCATACATCGAAAAGATGTTTTTTTTCTAAAAATTTTGTTGATAAATTAATGACTTGGAGCCAAATGGACATGATCTTAGGTCATGTTCACCAGCAGTGCAGAATGGATCCTATTTCTCTATGGCCTTTCCAGCACAGATTAGTTGGGATCACCTGCATTCATGACATAAGGAGATGAGTCTGGTACCAGTGGAATAGCATCTTATATGCTTGCTCTTTATGGTTAACACATATTGTGAGGGAAGATATAGCCTCCCGTATATCTGACCAGTCACTTGACTCCTCCAGAAAACTTTAGATTTATTTTTCAAGCGTTAATATAGGGCAACATGATATGTGTGGAATATGCCACAAGTGTTGAATATAGTCTGGAGACATGACCTCTCCGGATCAGAACCTCCATATATACTCTTTAAAAAAAGGTAATGGGAGCATTACCTGCTTGTTTGACAACCAGGAGGGAGACTAGGTTACATAACTGAGTGTATCTAAAATGGTGAAGTATTCACATCTTTGTAAGCAATTATTTTGGACTAGGAGTAAAGATGACAGAATTGAGTGTTTCTATATTGAAAATGGCAAAGAACTTAGTTCGTTAGTCCTAGGGTAAATATTTTGTTCCTAAAAATACAACTGTCAGTTGGAAGAGTTAAAATTTGTCTTTTGCTTTATCCTGTACATCAAGCGAGTGAGTGAAAGCTGGGGATGTGGGAGGCACTAGCCGGCTGTATTACTTCCGGATCAATTTGTAAAGAGCTTTGTGATCAATGACAAAAATACCTATCTCTTCTGTCCTTTTGGCGCATGGCATTGTTGGACAGCTGTTAAATGGATCACCGTGCAGAAATGTTTAAAATTCCGTAATCCTAGTCCTTATTCATTTGGTGGAACCGGCTCCCAGGTAGTAAATGCTCCTTGGCTAACACCAAGGCTGACACTTACCTTAACATTTCCTAAATTATTTTAAGTGTTTATTCCTCTTGTTCCCTCTGCCAATTTTGCTACTTAATATTTAATTGAATTGACCAGGTGTTTAGAAGTCAGACTTTTGGCTTGCACAAGTCCTGCTACCCGTCTCAATACATCAGCACTAACTTGCAAAGGGTACCTACACTTATCTGTTGATACATTAACATAGTTGTGTGGCTTGTATATTACTGCTATACTGTGAACTAAGTCTGTTCATAAAGAAGATAAATTGTTAATGATGCTAAGCAGAATTGATGTGGCCCTGCGATTAGATGTTTAGGGATTTGGGCACAAGAGTTCAGCATTTAACATAGGTTGACAAGTACGCAAGTGATGACATCATCTATAACTCACAGTCTCGATCCAAATGAAGATTAGATATAATCTATTACAAAACAAACTCATCAACATTAGGTTCTTTTAATCTTAGCTAATTTTGAAGGTGTGTTTTATGTACTAATTTTTAACTATTCTATTAAATTTTATGAAACTATGATGATTGGGATGTAAAAATGCTAACTCTTCAAGCTCTAAGAGAGCAATTATAAGTACTTAAAATCTTTCAAAGTGGCCAAGCCCTCATATGCTTTAAGTATAAATGGGGTGACTTTCTGCTGGAAACTCAGGGAGTCATTCAAAACAGACTTTGTAGTCAGTTCATACATTACTACTTTCTGATTATTACAGAGGAACCATGTCTCACCACTCCGCTCATAGCCACTCTGTCTCTGGACACAAGAAATTCAGTTCATCATCTGCTTGCTTACCCTCAGTGAGCAAACACAGTGCTAGTTCTTTCACTTCGAAGAAAGTGTCCATAGGTCACAAAGTTCTGCCAAGTTTTAGTAGCAAGAGCGTGTATAGTGTTGTGTCAGGTGGACACAAGATTTCTGCTGGAGGTTACAGATCACTTCATAGAGGACATGGACATGGAGGATCTGATATTGGACATGGATATTTTGGATCCAGCTATGGATTTGGAGCACCATTTTGCCCTGGGGGTATCACCTCTGTCACAGTGAACCAAAGTCTGCTGTCTCCTCTCAATTTGGAGATAGACCCACACATCCAAAGAGTCAGGACAGATGAGAAGGACCAAATCAAAGGTCTCAATAACAAGTTTGCTTCCTTCATTGACAAGGTAAGAATGTTGTTTATTAGCAGTAAAGTCTCTGTGTGTCTCTTCATTCCATTGAAAAGCTGCCAATTCCATGATATTGTAATATGCAGTTGTTCAGAATCAGCTAGATAGTTATAGCTTAAATGTTAAAGCTTTGGTACCAATATGTTATTAATATTGTTGGGATTAAAGGAACACTCAAAACACCTAAGGCACTTTAATATTAAACCGTTTTGTGTGAAGAGTGTGTCCTCTTTTTCCATTTTACAAAAAGTACAGATTTAAATACAAATTCCCACTTTTATAAATTAACCTTGTTACCCCCACCCGTTCTTGGTTGTTTAGCTCAATGGTACTGAAGTTAGTAGCCAGGCAATTGTCCAGAGCACCTACTTTACAAAGATGGCTCATTGAGCATTGGGAAGTCTGTGATAGGACAGCAACTAAAATCTGGGCTGGGCTTGTAAAGGCTGCAGACAAGAGATCTACAGCTTTTGAAAGGTGTTTTTTTTTGCTTTTGAAAGTATAACCCCAATAAAAAGATGCATAATTAATTGTATACATGTATTTATTGGGTCTATATTTACTAAATAATATGTATGTATTTATTTATTTTGTATGAAGCAGTGAAGGGCCTCTTTAAAGCTTATATTGCAAGTGTCCATGCACTTCTATGTGCAAGAGGAGAATAGATCAACTTACTCTTAATCTTTGTACACTAGATATTTGCCAGACAGTTTTTGGAGGTATGCAGGCTATTTGTTGCTACAGTGGATTCCTGACACACTAGTGATTTCTACAAACCTCTTCAAAGCTTTAAACTGCCATTGCTCAGCTCTGTTGCTTGGTGCCATTCTTGATGAATGCTGGTATTAGCCATGCCACTAATAATTTGCTGCTTTCAAACAGCAGTGACAATTCTCAATATAGGGAGGCATGGAACACATGCTAGAGGTGAATATACTCTTGCTAGAGCTGAATTTTCTCTCACCAGTGGCAAGTGGGCAAGTTGAAATTTGAAGCCTTAGATGTCACTATAACATTTGACAGATTCGCCAAACTCTGGCCCTCGAGATGTGGCTGAACTACAACTTCCATGATTCTCTGGTCATCAATTTCATCTAAAGAATCATGGGAGTTGTATTCCAGTAACATCTGGAGGGCCAGAGTTTGGAGAATCCTGCTATATGGTATAAAACAGGCTTCCCCAAACTCCAGCCCTCGAGATGCTGCTGAACTACAACTCCCATGATTCTCAGTCTATCTATTTCATTCATAGAATCATGGGAGTTGTAGTTTAGCAACATCTGGAGGGCCAGAGTTTGGGGAAGCCTGATATAAAACAACAAAATATACACAAGGGAAATGTACTATTTTACTACAGAGGCAAGAAACAAACTATTTCAAACCTGGATTCATATTTATACCAGCAATGCAATTTACTTATTTCTTATAGTGTTTTTTCAAAACACTGATATAAAAATAAAATGGTATGGAGTGATATTAACCCCTTTAATGCAGAGGTAAATTGCAATAAGTAAAGCTAGTATCAAGGATACATCAAAAAGGCAGAATAGACGAGGAAACAAGCCAATAATGTGTATTACCTGTTGTCTCAGTCATACTAACTTGCTATGACTGGAGCCATATTTTTTTTACTTTAGAATTGCATTGGCAACTGTCATTGTAGGGATACATATATTTAATGTGGGAATGATCAGAATTTAAAAGGTCTGAAACACACAATCACTTACTTATTAGTACTGTACTCTTATGGGCACAGGAGAAACTAACAGGAGAAAGTAAATATATTTTACTAAGAACTTGCAGAGCAAATTGACCCAATTGCCCTAAGTTATTAAAAACTGAGGAGTTTTATCAAGATTTGCAGAGGACTTCAGATTATTATTATTTTTTTAAATGCAGAGATGCCCCAAGTGAGGGGCAATAATGTGGTTATATGAGTAGAAAAATGTCTTACAGAAAACATCGTAGAAAAAAGAATTGGATGGAAGTGGGCAGAAAGGTGTAGACTCTACCTTTACAGTCTAGAAATCAGCTCTCAGTACAGGATCCCCTGACAAACCAGTTCTGTCATAACCATATACAAACATAAAATAAAGCTTACAGCAGCAGTGGCCTAGTATTTAACAGCTCAAAATACATAATAGAAACAAAGAGAAAGTTACCTGTGCCACGTCAAGGCAAGCCTCAATAGGTGAGTTCCTACACTAGCCATTAGATATGCTGATATCAGTCAAGAATCTCCAATAAGACAGGAAGGAGTATTTTATAAACCCTTTCACATTTAATGATTTATAGGGCTTCTGCACATACAATACACATTGTTGGTATCAGCTAAATGGCAAATTTCTCTGTTGAGACGGGAAGGGGTGCTGCCCCTACATACTTAAAAATGGCTAGTGTAGGACTTACATTGTGAGGCTTGCATTGATGTGGCAGGTGAGCTTATATTCAAATGGCCATTGGAATGAAACTAAAGAGCCTCCATTTTGTTTAAATGTACGTAGGGATTTGGGCCAGAGCGCAGGCAACTTTCTCTTTATTTTTACTCTGTCATATTCATGCTGATTAGAGCTACAATGAGAATATTATATTAATATGAGGAAAGAATGTCATGATACTAGAAATGCGTTTTCCCAGACTCTTCAAATTTGCACTGAGCTACCACCAAATCAAGCAGTGACTCAGCTCCATAAACTTTGTATATACTGCTCTTAGCTTGTCCCATAAGCATTGCTAACAGCTTAGCTTCAAGGTCTAGACACTCAGTCATAGTAGTATACACAAAAACATCCCACACTCTCGCATCCAATCCAAGTGCTCCAGGCCCAGGGTTGGCAAATCCCAATTTAGCATATATGAAGAAAGTCAGGTCCAGGCACACAGGATACTGCAAAAAGCAGATTTATTGGAACAAAGGGCAACGCTTTGACCTACACAGAGTCCTTTGTCGAGCTGTCCTGACAACATGAGCAAAAGTGGGAACACTACAGATGGAACAGCTCAAGAATGGTGGGCTTATAGAATAAAACAAATTATTATATAAAAAAAATAAAAGAAGACCAATTTGAAAAAAAATAACTACCCAGCATAAATAGATGTATCCTATCCTAACCAATGTAGCAAACATGTGAGTGCCTAGAAATTGCAACTTTAAACAAACTAAGCAAAGTATATCTCACAGGAGTGAAATTCTCCAACTTGTATCACTTTAATATATTTCTCCTGAAAACAGAGCTGTCACTTTTCAGTACTTCATAAAGATATAATCGTGAAAGCTGAATTCAGTGAAATTCAAAAGCATTCCAAAGTTATCAAAAGACAAGGTAGGGACTTCTTGGCCTTATGGTAAAGCCTGAGGTTGACAAAAGTTGACAAAAGAAAAAGAAGGGCTCATATGACAGCTTTTGTTCAATCCGATGGCTGTGGGGTTCAGACATCAAGAGTACAGCACTGACGTGGCTCCTGGCAACTGAAATGCCAGAAGTTGAAGAGGACCTGGAGCTTTAACATGTGGGGGCTGTGAGGAATAATTGAAGGTCATTAAAACCCCATGGCTACCGGACTCACACGGGATCTGTCCGTTTTGTGGGTCTTTGCAAAATTTGCAAAATAAACCAACAAACTGACAGATCCGCTTTAAGACTTTCAGCATATGCTATCAAAATGTTTTGTATTTTGTTATTAAAGCATATCCCTGTGAGACATAACTCTAAAAAAGAGCCATAAAAGTTTCTAACTAAATCAAATCTAAAGTAAAATATGAGATATAATTGTTCCAAGTATATATAAATTGCCATTAAAACAACCAGAAATCTAGAAATTAAATTCAACAAAAGTGCATTCAACAAAATGTAAGCTATAAGACAAATCTGAATGTAATGTCAATTAGTTATTACAAATAATAGCAGATTCAAGCTTGTGATGTTCATTATATAAAAATCCAACAAATGTTTTATATTTCTAACAAATACAATTAAATCGGCAATGTCACTGTCGGGGGACTTTGCCAGATTTGCTAAGTCCTCTGATGGTAACATCGCTGCTGATGGTCCAGTGGACACAGGTGGCAGGTAAGGGTGAGATTACTTACCTTAACTTATCCCTCATGGGTGCTGCCATCTTGTTCGCACTGCCTCTCTGGTGCTGGTGCTTTAGGAGCATGCATGAGAGTAAAGGATTGAGGCCTATGGGAAATTCTGCAAGACTTCATAGGACCAGCCAATAGCCTGCAGCCATCCCTACTTTGTCTCTGTATTTATCTTAGTTGGGCTGGAATTTCAGTGAAATTCCAACCTAACTACAATGAATATTTCATAAAAATTCTATCTTTATAAAATACCAATTTTTATTATGGGGTGACAGTGTGTCAAGAAATACTGGGATCCTATACGCAGAGTGTAATAGAATAGTAGTGTACTGGACCTTAGAATGGCTGGGTTGACGTCACAAGGACAGAGAGTAAACAGGGGCAAGACGAGATCACGGGAGCCAGAAGTCAAGAAAAACGAGGGTACAAAAGCCGAGTAAATGGATAACAGAAGGAAGAGCAAGCCATAGTCAAAACCAAGAATACAATACTAGTTTTGTTATCTTTAATAACCAGCGTAGTTCACTCAGTAAATGACACCTTTCATTCTTCAATTCTTACAGATTACATCAACATTTTAAAAAAAAATAGATGAATTAAATAATTATCACTATAAAAATTGTGGCTTACTACACCCTACCTAACAGCTAAAACAAATAAAATTAGAAGATGGATGAAAATCACAGGTTTACCACATAAATCTTGCCTATTGGACCATTGGTCATTGATTCATGATTGGTTAGTTCACTGTTCTTAAAAGATGCCTACAGAAAGTATCAAGAAAAATGTCATGTTATCTCAGCTTTAAATAGTTATTCAGAGGATATGTTTCTAGAACTCTTGCACAATACAAGATTAGCATTAAACTGTGAAAAAAAAACCCTTATCACTGAAATGTTTAAATGCATATTCAATTACTGAAAATAATAGCGTGTTTAGAATTCTTTTTATCTCGGCTTAACACTTTTTACATATATATTTATATGTTTTTCCATATTTTATGTTTCAGGTGAGATTTTTGGAACAACAGAACAAGATCCTTGAAACTAAATGGACTTTGCTGCAAGAGAGAAAACCTATTAAACACAACATTGAACCTCTGTTTGAGGCTTATATCAGCAACCTCAGGAGACAGCTAGAGTGTCTGGGAAGTGAAAAGGCCAGCCTTGAGTCTGAACGACGAACCATGGAGGAGGCTGTGGAAGATTTCAAGAAAAAGTAAGAACCTTTTCTGATTAACGATAGATGGTCGCAAATAGATAGATTGATCTTTGATCAATGGGAGTTTAAGAAAATAATGTAAATATTTCATATCTAAATCATCAGATTTGAAGAGGAGATCAACAAACGCACTGCTGCAGAGAATGAATTTGTTGCACTCAAGAGGGTGAGCGATTACAGATGTGACTTTTATTATTGAGACAAGTAACATTTGATGATGGTTTGTAACTGTGCAATCAAATCTTTCTTGCAGGATGTGGATGTTGCTTTCATCAGTAAAGCAGAACTTCAAGCAAGTGTGGACTCATTGACTGATGAGATCAACTTCCTGAGAGCTCTGTATGATGCGGTAAAAAAACACTATTTCATTTATTCGATGATGAAAAAATATATATTTTAGAGGAAACAAACCCAATTTTAAATTGTATGACTTCACAGAAAATATATATATTTTTGACTATTAAAAAGTTGTTAATTCTGGAAAAATGTGTATCCAGATAGAAGTTAATTTAGGTAAAATAATAGAACACTCAATTACAACTTGTTTCCTTGTGCATCTTCCTTCTAGGAGATAGAACAACTGCAAGCTCAAATTGCCGATATTTCAGTGGTTGTGTCCATGGATAATAGCAGGCATCTGGACATGGACTGTATTATTGCTGAAGTGAAATCTCAGTATGAGGAAATTGCGAACAGAAGCAGAGCTGAAGCAGAAGCCATGTACCAATCAAAGGTAAGTCAATCTCACTGAACTCTGTGCAAATCTAAATTATAGAAGTGGAAAAAAGTTGGATAGTCTACGTAGAGATAATTTCTGGCTCCAGAAACCAAAAGGTGGTCATATGTATGCACAAGGGGTGTGCCAGGTGTTCCCAAGCAAATCCTAATGAGGACCAATTTGTCCCCTCTGTCCCCAATTCAGTTCTCTGGTTCTCTTTTGCATGCATTTGAGCTAGTTTTCATGTTTTTAAAGAAAAAGCCATCATCAATTTTTTGGTATACAGCTGGTTCTTTATGGACAAAAAAAAATGTATTTTTTTAAATTGTTATTTTTTAAGTTAGGTTTTGAATGTCAGGTTTCTCTGGATGCAATACCCTAATGTAAAGTGCTGTGCACATTTAAGAACATGATGGAGGTTTGAAGAATAGACATGAATAAATGATCAATTTGGGTAGCATTATTGGCCAACAATTATAGATAAAGAGCTTTCCTCATCTCTGAGGTCAGGTGTATGAATGTCCAGGGACAATAAATGTAGAGTTAAACAAGATCTCTAAATTGAACTTGACATATAATTATTATTAATCTATTTTATTATTACTTAACTCTGCAGTACGAGGAGCTGCGTCTGACAGCAGGTAAACATGGTGATGACCTGCGTAGCACTAAACATGAGATCGCTGAACTCACCCGACTTATCCAGAGACTCAAAGGAGAAATCGAGAGCATAAAAGCCCAGGTAAAACACACTAACTACATTAAGATTTGATTCACTATTTAATTTTCTCTGCTTAAGTTGGAGAAAAAAAACATTATTTTTCTGGAGGACACCACACAAATATGTTTGCTTTCACGTTATGAGCAGATCATATTGGAATAGGAATCCAAGATCAGCGTGCATGTTCTTAAAGCAGCAAAAATATATACATTTCTACTGTTGTGTTAGTGTTCGTGCACAGAATTTATACTTTTCTCCTAATTGCACGTAGAAAAAAATAATTGGATGACAGTTGATTCCCTTGGTTTGGTGGGTGAAACTACTTCTCGTAGCTAAGGCCCTTAGGGGATGCTAAGGATAAAGGGGCACATGGCTCACAAACATCTAATGTCGTAATAAAGTCATGTTAGCTATACAACAAAGTTTTATTTGGATGTTTTATCAGGTGTACCAGAAATTTAACATTTTTAATAATGATACAAAAGAAGATATTTTGAAATAGTTGTATGGAAATATAAGGTAGGGCGTGGGAGAGCTGGAGCTAGGGTATTTAATTTTATTAGTCACTATTTTACATTGATGTATTTTACTGCTTGTACAGGTGTTCATACATACCTGTACATAATTTCTCTAATTATTAATCATCTGTCAGCAGAGCTAGCGAATAGGAACAAAGTACAGAATATTGTACTGAAATGCGTGAGATTAAGGATGGGTGGTTTTATAGCTTGCAATGAACTATTTTATAAAACTTTGAAATACTACAAACAGGTGACTCAACATTTAACACACAACTGACAACTCTAAATAATTTCAGGTTTTCTGTATTTTTTTATTTATTTTTTTAAATAATTTATGATGAAAAAAAAAAATCCTGAATTAAATATACTTTATGGATTATTCATTTAACAACGAATGAATGAATGAAAATTAGAAATAGTATATTTAAGCCGAAAATGTAATATTGAGAAAAATGTTTTTGTAATGTCATTCATTTATTTTGGAGCAAAATTTTATGTTTGGTTTCAAATCTCCAACAATGCATGTTTTATATAATACGTCCAACAAGCCAAATGAGAAGAGCCAAGAGCCATGGAAAAATGAGCACATAGAGAGAGAATGTTTACAGTTCAGGCAGTGTAGGAACAACAAACTCACATCTCATTATCAACCTGATTTTTAACACTGATAAATTGATCATCTTTGTTAAATGTTCCTCATCTGTTTGATCTGCACAAAAAGATATATAAGAAGAACATTTAAATTCAAATATAACTTCTTTATTATCAACGTTTCAGTTAGACTGAGCTAACCTTCTCCAGGACAGATATATATATATATATATATATATATATATATATATATATACACTTTTCTCTCCAGCCTGATTATCCATTTTTCTGTCTGTCTGTCTGTCTGTCTGTCTGAGTCCTGTACAATCTGTCTATTTTCCTTTACATCTGTCTGACTGCCAGTCAGTCAGTCTATTTGTCTATCAATGTTTCTGTTTTAATCATCCGTCTGTCTGTATTACACAGGAAGTTTTCATTGTGATACAGTGTATGTAATGTATACATATATAATACTCTTACACACATGCATGCAATGTGATATATAAGTAGCCATAGGTACAAAATAATCACCATGAATCAAAGACCTGTATGTTGTGCCTTATACAAAAGTATCTATTTATGTGATCAACCTGCAGCAACTTGCCAATTAAATAGTGTATTATGCATATGCAGTTCCAGATATTTTCATTAATTATTTTGAAACTATTATCTTTCATGTGTTTACTATCAGAATCCCTTGTTAACACCTATTTTATGTATTTTATTTTTTTAGCATATAACAGTGGTATCCTTGAAATTCACTGATTTTTATTTAGCATTAAAGCCAGCAAATAAAAACATATTAAGCATATTTGTAAAAAAAACAAAACACAAAAACAAACAAAACAAACAGGCAGGCTTTATCAAATGTCAGCAATTGTGTTGTACAGGTATTATATTTTTTCTAATTATATTTCAGCCTGTAGGGGGAGCTCTGTATTTATTTGTGTTTTTTTTTTACATAATTCTTTGTCGCATTTATTCCACTCTCGTTCAAAAAACATCTGCATAATCCCCATAAAAAAGTTTTAAAATAATCTATTGTTAATATTTTCTAGACGTAGGTAGAATTGCTCTCTAGTGATTTCATATTTTTAAATAAACCAGTCATGTTTGTAATGATAAACAAAGCAGACGACTGAAAACATAGTTGTACATGCAAATACAAACTATTAACACTTCACGATAAAGTAACATAAGTGCATTTAAAAAATGAAAGCTATATAAAAAAGATGGACACCTTAGTTAATAATCCAAATGTCTTTATTCTACAAACAAAGTAAATCAAACAAAAATACAAAACAAACACTGTTACAAAACGATAACAACCAGTGATAGAGGCTATAAAACATGCTCTAAATCAAACAGGCATACAAGTTCACTTGTATATTACTTCAAAGAGTTGGACACGTGTATAGAACAAAGCCACAACATTTTGTCACAGCTACTCGTGCCTTTCTCAAGGGATCACCACTCGTTTAAATAACGAAAAAACCTCTGTTTGATCTATATGGAAACAAATATATGCCTACCTGTCTGGCCTGTCTATCAGTCCTTCAGTCTGTCTGCCTGAGCCTTGTCAGATCTGTCTTTTTTTATTTCCATATGTGTGTCTTTGAGTCTGTCAGTCTTATCAATCTGTTGCAAAGCAGTCCCAGGATGCAACTGATATGCTTAACAGTAGTATGGGATATTTGTTCATCTATGGTGATACAGGGAGATGGGGGATTGCAAAACAAATATATTGGAGAAAATGTATCAACATGTTCTGTTCTAAAAAGTGATCTTAAGTACTGAAAGTAGGGCAATTACCATGGAAACTAGAGTAACCAATAGATGCATTCCATTGACAATGTTTTACACATTTGCCCCACTTTGTAGAACAGAACACTTTGATAAACTTCTTACTTACTTTTTTTCAATACTGCTTATTACATCTAGAATCAGAGAACATTGCGCCAGAAAATATATTTTGGAAGTATAATTGATTTCCTTTATATCTGCATATTTGACACAAAACACACATTTTCATTGCATTAAATATAATTGGATTGGATTCAATTCGTTATTTCACTCACTTTAGGTTAACTAAATATCTTTAATTTCTTTATTTATTTCATTAAAGAAAAGTCATTATTACATTTTCTTTTGACTTCTTAGCGTTGTAAACTGGAAGCTGCTATAACTGAGGCAGAAGAACGCGGAGAAGCCGCTGTCAAAGATGCCAGGAACAAACTTGCTGAGTTGGAGGCTGCTTTACAGAAGGCCAAGCAGGACATGGCTCGCCAACTGCGAGAATACCAGGAGCTGATGAATGTGAAACTAGCACTGGATATTGAGATCGCCACCTACAGGAAGATGCTGGAAGGAGAGGAGGGCAGGTTAGTATAAAGAGCTACTTTTTTTAGCCTATTTATTGTTAAGCGTGCCTTCTCTTAAAGCAAAAACTCACTAGAAACTGAGCATTGCAAGGTAACAGAAAGTAATTAGCAACATCTATTTTAAATATAGGATGAATATCTACCAAACGTAATAATACAAAATATTATGATTTTTTTAAAGGTATAAATAATAAACTGATATACACTCTCATTTATATGCATGTACTTGGGTTATATGTTATAATTATATAAATTAACTGTTGACATTTGTCAAAGTAAGGTCCAGGTTCCAATCAAGAACAGGTACTACAGTTGGTGCATTAGCCAGCAGAGTAATTTTATCTGTAAACTGCTATTCAAGGACACAACAAATATCAAAATCAGGTATATATTTATTTGGTAATCAAGACCACACAAAGTGGAGGCATTTCAATTATAAGGATTTCATTGTGTGATTTTCCTCTGAAACGTTACAAATAATTAACACAGGATGAAAAACCCAGTTGTAGAACATTTTGTGGTTATCACTGAGTAAAATAATGTAACTCTTATGCACCTTGCATGTTTGCTCATTACCTGTGTTTGAGAATGTAGATTCCCAAAAAACTAGTCATCATTCTATAATCTATAATTCGTGAAACAATACACAAAAAGAAACAAGACCGCAGGAAAAAAACAGTATAGGAAACTGCAAAAACCAAACTTATGGGGATTTATGTAATTTAATAAAACCATGTATATACATCATATGTTGAGATAGTATTATATAAAATTATGGAACAATGCCCTTTATTTTTGTTTCTAGAATTGGTCAAGATGGACACGACTCTGTTAGCATATGTAAGTACATGACATGCTTTTTTCTAATAACTGTTTTAAAAATAAAACTGCTAAGAAAGTAAAATTACATTTTTCATAATGTTATTAAATTATTATTTAATAATAAATCATAATTTAGGGCTATTTTAGTTTTTCAACATATTATGCAACTGCTTGGAGGATAAGTGATATCTCTCACCAAAGAGTATTTAAAGATGGCTGACCACATGGAGCCATTAAAGTCAGGAGGACTAAAAAGGGTTATTAAGTTTTATTTAAAAAAAAAAAAAAAAATGGTATGCCCCCTAATTTAAATTTGTAGGGTTTTCCCCTTATCAGCAAATATACATACAATATTGAGATTCAGCTATGCATCTATGAAGGGATAAACAAACAGCAGATTGTGAAGTACTTCAAAATGCAATAACATCTACCCTCTAGAAATACACTCAAAGAAAGATATGAAGTTTTGCACCTTCGGATGCCTCACCCATTTAAGTTTGGGGTCTAGTGTTGACAGATTAAATTGAAAAATTAGATTAAGTTGAAGAAAAAACCTATTTTCAGTACTTTAAAGTGACTTAGTGTGTGCAAATCAGCAATTAAATAAATAAATAAGTTAAAATTGGTCCAACGCGTTTCTTCCACCTCAGTGGACTTCTTTAGAGACACAATAAAAAATGAAGTAAAAATACAAATAAATACAATCACCTTTTTGTGATTGTAAACTTCAGCAAGCACTGAGCCTAATCTTTCAGGGTTAGAAAGTACAGATGAATATATTTTAGCATGTATTTAATTGTGTTTGTCTTTTCTTGAATTCCAGCTGTGATCAGCAATACTACAGGATCAGCACACGGTGGAAGTGGCCATCACCACAAAGGTGGCTTCAGCTCTTCTAGCTATGCCAAAGGAAAACATGGTCATCACTGTTAAATAGTTGCAGCTCTGATGTCATCAGCCCTACATCCAGTGTTCACTATTTTATTTTTTTTTGCCAAAATATAGATTAAATCATTTGCATTTTGCAAGCATCTCTTAGGTGCTATCTTATAATTGCTTTGTCTCTGTATGCTCAGTCTTGTGGAATGGACATATGTTTCAGACTCATCGATATTGGAACATTTTGAACCTTGTTTCAAACACCTTAAATCTATACTTCTCTCTATAAATTGTTGATTCTATATTTTTCCATCATACTCATCAAATGTTACTTTGAATGAAAGAAAAGAAAAACATTCAAGAATTATCTACTATAGTATCATTAATGAATAGTAATTTAGCTAAGCTAAAACCTCATACATGTTCTCTCTGATATTTATGATTAAAAAAGTGAAATATGTGTCCTCCCCCCAAAAAATTGAATGTCACATTTATTTCTGCTTAATTTGTTGTTTTCTGCATTGCTGTATTTCAAAATTAAACTGCATTTCAAATGATAATGTTTAATGCTTCTTTATTTTATCTATTTATTTGTTGTTATACGATATGATTATATGATTTTGGGGCTAGATTGGTTTCTACATAGGTGGCATCATACAGCTGTTATTGACAAGCTTTTTGCCGTTGAATCGGTTGGTGCAAAGCAAATAACAAGAATTACTAATAACTATATATAGATTGTAGAGAAAGACGTGTTATAAACTTGATGTAATTCTGGTTTGGGTCAATAAACAATGAGTGCTTGGAGCTTATAACATATAACTTGTGGGGTGCCCCACACACACACACACACACACAACAGCCCACACACACACACAGCACCCCTCACACACACACACAGCAATCACACACACAGTTATGTCATACCTATCATATGCAAAATCTATACTCTCCACCAAATGACACCCAATAAAATGACTAACTCTACTTGAGGGAAATGATATTGCAAAAGTCCTAAAAACATACATTGATGATTGCATTTTTCTTAATCTCAAAATATTAAAATGGTCCAATGGTCCAGTTAGATTTACCGGTGCCTTCTAAACACATTTCAAGTAGACTTGGGGATACGTTTTGTTACGAGCTTCATTTTGCCCAAATTTGGGCATATTGAGTGATTGCTCAAATTCCAGATTTCCAAGCTGCCTTACAGAAGAATCACAAAACAAAAAACCTTGCGCAATGGACCAGCATGTTCCTTTGATTCATGATTAAAATTTTTGCACATGGCACTAAAAAAAAGAGATGATTGATGGGAAAAAAGATAATTAATTGCCAGGGGACAGCCACTAAATGTTAATTTTATTTGTAGATCAAATAAGAAGTGACAAATAGAGGGAACAAAGGAGAAGAAGTGGTAAAATATTTTTATATATTTCATATACAATAAATATACACTATTATATAAATATAGATTTTTGTACAGGTCCTCTTCTTTTTCCCTCCATTGGTTACTCTTTCTCTCTTTATCTGTGAACCAAATGTTGGGAAAATGCACCTATCATTGTAGTGATTTCCACCATTATGGTTTGTCAGATTTGTATACCTAATATTTTTTGAGGAACCAAATTCTGGTGAGTCAAATCACTAGAACCATCCAATTTTGCCACCCCAAATTCTTTTTTTTTTTCAGAATAAGTGGTTCAGCCGAAATAAATTTTTCTGATGTGAGCAAGTCTAATTTCAATGATAATATTCATAACCTCAGAGATTAATTAAATAATTTGAACTTGTATGCATGCATTAAAATACATTTCTGCTCTTAAAATTAATGTCTGCTCTTAAAATAAAAAAACCCTTGAAATTAATATATTTCTGGAGCAAGTCTGTCACTATAGAACAATATGAGATATTTTGTAAAATGAATCCAGTGCCAACACTCATAAACATGAAAACATGATTTACATTCTTGGAAAATATACAAGATAAGATACACACACCTAATAAAAGGGATCACTTTATGTGGCAAGCACCGTAATGAGATACAGAATACTCTGATTTCCATGACAGATGCCAGACAAATTGTAGTCCTAAAAAACCTGCCTAGACACAAATAGGCAAGGTGAGAGGAAGGTAATCATAACTCGTACTTGAGAGTCTGCACATGGCCATGAGTATTGTATGGGATGTAACAGAAAGATCCAGACTTCACTGCTAGGGATCATAGCTGTAGCTGCTTGTGAAGGATAATGATTTTTTCAACCTTCTAGATCTATGTGCAAAACGTAGGCTTATTGACCAGAACTTGCCCAACCAGGATCCTATTTGTTACCTAGAACAAATGAGTAGGTGTTGCCCAATCTTTTTACCCTTTGTGTAAACCTTCAGTTCTGAATACCTGATGATTGCGATATCTATAATAATATGAAATATGATCAATTCTTACCTTCATCACTTTTTTTTTTTTAAATATAATCCCTGTGTATGCACTGTAGAGTCTTATGGAGCTGAATGACAGCTGACATATGACTAAATGTAGGGCTATATAAACCACTGCCCAGTATAATAATGTGACTTTAAAGCCTATTAACCCCTTAAGGACGGAGCCAAATGTACATGTTGTGAACGAAACAAAATGTAAATAAAACCTGGCATTTGCGCTACATGTCTGTCCAACCGTAATTCACCTCTTTCATATTAAATACACGCACCTTTATTATATATCATTTTATTCAGGGGAAACAGGGCTTTCATTTAATATCAAATATTTAGCTATGAAACATAATTTAATATGAAAAAAAATGGGAGAAAATAAGATTTTGTTTGATTGAGTTCTACATGACATTTTAACGGTCAATGTCATAATACTGTTTGCTTTTACTGCAATAAAATACACATATTTGTATTCAGCAAAGTCTCACGTATAAAACAGTACCCCCTATGTACAGGTTTTATGGTGTTTTGGGAAGTTACAGGGTCAAATATAGCATGTTACATTTGAAATTGAAATTCGCCAGATTGGTTACGTTGCCTTTGGGACTTTATAGTAGCCCAGAAAAGAAATTTACACCCATAATGGCATATCATTTGCAATAGTAGACAACCCAAGGTATTGCAAATGGGGTATGTCCAGTCTTTTTAGTAGCCATTTGGTCACAAACACTGGCCAAAGTTAGTGTTAGTATTTGTTTGTGTGTGAAAAATGCAAAAAACGCCAATTTTGGCCAGTGTTTGGGACTAAGTGGCTACTAAAAAAGACTGGACATACCCCGTTTGCAATACCTTGGGTTGTCTACTATTGTAAATGCTATGCCATCATAGGGGTAATTTTCATTCTTGGGCTACCATAGGGTCTCAAAGGCAACGTAACCAATCTGGCGAATTTTAATGTGAAAAAAATGAAACACAAGCCTTATATTTGACACTGTAACTTTTGAAAACACCATAAAACCTGTACATGAGGGGTACTGTTGTACTCAGGAGACTTCGCTGAACACAAATATTTGTGTTTCAAAACAGTAAAAAGTATTGCAGCAATAATATCATCCGTGTAAGTGCTGTTTGTGCGTGAAAAATGCAAAAAACTTCACTTTTACTGGCGATATCATCGTTGTAATACATTTACTGTTTTGAAACACTAATATTTGTGTTCAGCGAAGTCTCCCGAGTAGAACAGTACCCCCCATGTACAGGTTTTATGGTGTCTTGGAAAGTTATAGAGTTAAATATAGTGCTAGCAAATTAAATTCCCTTTACTTTCGGCATGGGTTGTCAGGCAGGTCCCGCTAATTGTAATTAATTAAGATACCTAATTATGTAAAAATATTACATAAATATATATGTAAAATTAATATATGTATATATATATATGTATGTGAATTTTTATTTATATATAGGTATATATATAGTGATATATACGTATATATTTATGTATATACTGTAGATATATATATTATTTTGTTCTACGTGTATTTTGATATAAATATATATATATTAATATCACAATACAGTTAGAACGAAATAACACAAATCTATATATTTTTTATTTTTTTTTAAATTATTTTTTTAATTTTATTTTTTTAACGTATTTACATATTAATTTTTTTTATATTATATATAAATATATATATAACAATAATTATATATATATATATTTAATCAATATCAGTCTACGTGTAATTTGATATTAATATATATATATATATATATTTAGAATTATATATATTAATAGTAAAATACACCTAGACAGTGTATGCGTGTGTATGTATATGTGTGTATATATAAACGTAGATCATATATATATAATATATATATGATCTAAGTATATATATTTTTCTTTTTACACTTTATAACTTTTTAAAATTTTATTTATTTTATTTCCAGCCAGCAGGGGCACCACCTGTCATTACAGGCAGCCCCCCTGCTGGCAATGCAGGAGGCAGCTATCCCGGCCATGTGATTGTGAGATCCTCGCAAGGACCTCCCTCTCACATGGCTGTGGGGGCTGCCAGGGGGTCAGACATGCCGCGGGGGGCTCCCTGGGAGTCCCCCCAACCGCGATCGGGTAAGTAAGGAAAGACCGGAAGGCGTACTATTTCGCCCGGCGGTGTTTAGTGCCGCCTAAAATAGGGCGTAATAGTACGCTTTCCGGTCTTAATGGGTTAAAATGTGCCTTATTTGACTTTATTTCTGGTATCCAGGGCCATCCTTAACATTTGTGGGGCCTTGTGAGAGACAGATTTGTAAGGCCTGTGGTGGTCTTAAAGTAGAAACAAACAAACAATAAAAAAATAAAATAGCAGATAGGTTTTTTATTTTCAATCATTAAATGTAATTTTAATCTAAAACAGAATTCCATTTAACATATATCAACTATTTATAAGGAAATGTAACTATATTGCTATATACTTTTAACTGCTATCAGTCAAATCTATCGCAATGATAGATAGAAGGTCACTCTAGGGCAGTGATGGCGAACCTATGGCACGCATGCCACAGGTGGCACGCAGGGCCCTTTCTGTGGGCACGTGGCCATAGGTTCGCCATCAATACAGAGTAGGCACATGCCTGCCCAAAACGGCAGGCGCCTACTCTCCTTCCGTGTCGGGAGGCAGAGGGAGGGATCTGTGAAGCAGCTCCCCTGTCCTCCCACGAGCAAGCTGTGTGGAGCGTTGCCGCGCGTTACCATGGCAATGCTCCACACAGCATCACGCGGGAGGACAGGGGAGCTGCTTCACAGATCCCTCCCCCTGCCTCCCTACACGGAAGCAGTGATTTCCACCACCGGACCACCAGGGATGGCTGTGTCCCCCCCTCCTTCATTAAAGGTAAGAAGGAGGGAGGCGGGGTACGTATTTAGCATACTTTTTTTTAAAACACTTTTACCCCAGCCCCACACACACATCACCCCTACCCCCCCCACACACAGTACCCCTACCCCCCCACACACACAGTACCTCTAACCCCCACACAGCACCCTCCCAGCATCCCTCCCCTCCTCCACACCCAGCACCCCCCCTACCCCCACACATAGCACCCCTACCCCCACCACACACAGTACCCCTAACCCCCACACACACAGTACCCCCTAAC